CGTTCTTTCTTCCTCTTCTTGGTGGCTGACCCTGGCTCAGGGTCTTCCGCCGACCGGGGCTCCAGCGCCCCGTCTGCCTCTGCCATCACCTTTTGCCTCTTCTCTTTCTTCTTCTTTCTGGTGGGCTCGGCTGGAAGCTCCGTGCCCCCTGGGGGTTCCCTCTGGGGCTCTGCGTCCCGAGGCAGCTCCATAACCCTCTCCTGGTGGGCTGCCTGCGCCCCTCGGGGGCTCCCCTCTGGCTCCTCCAGCCCTTTGCGGTGCTTTTCTTTCTTCTTCTTCTTCTTCTTGGCGGAGGGCAGTGGAATGGGTTCCTCCTGAGGTTCTACCTTCACCTGCGATGGATCCTCAACGGTCGCTCCGTCCACGGGCTCCATCCTTTCGGGAACCTTTGGCCTCTTCTTCCTCTTCTTGGTGGGGGACCCGACCGTGTCCTCCCCAGGCTCGGCTTTAACCCCAAGTTCCAGTTCCGCCACCCCTGCTTCTGCCTCTGGCACCCCCAATTCTTGGCCGACTGATTCTGCCCCTTTGGCCTTCTTCTTCTTGGTGGTGGGGGGCAAGGGTACCCCCAGGCTCTCCAGCGTCTCAGGCGCAGGCTCTGGTTCTTCTGGCTGTTTCTTCTTCTTTTTCTTCTCCACACCCATCTCCGGGGACCCCAAAGCTGTGTCCACCTCCAGCGTCCCGTGTCCATTTGCTGCCTCCTGTGGGGCCGCCGAGGCCCCAGCAATCAGCTTCTTCCTTTTCCTCTTCCCGGAGGTTGGCGTCTTCAGGGTGCAGGCGGACCCAGGCCCTGTCACTGGGGGGCTGCCTCCAAAGGCACAGAACCGAGGCCTCAGGCCTGGGGGGACCCGGGGCGGGGGGCTGGTTGGAACGGGCTGCAGAGGTGTCCGGGGCAGGGATGCTTGGAGCCCCTCAAAGATCCTTAGGCTGCCCTGGGGGGCAGGGGCACAGGTCAGCCCACCTACAGCCTCACTTGAGGGGGCCAGTAGGGTGGCTTCCTCAGCCCCGGGATCACTGCTGCTAAGGACCCGGAAGCGCTGCCGTTTGCCTGCCAACTTGCTCCCCTTCACCATCTGGGAGCCAGCAAGAGGCACCAGCCGCCCGTTGAGGCTGAAAGAGGCAGAAGAGTAGAGGCCGGGTCAGCTCATTGCGAAGGGCAGGATGCAAAAAACCCCTGCATCCCCGGGCCCAGAAG